TGTCTTAAGTCGTGATGTAAGTCAGTAACTCTATTTAACTTAAAACTCAACTCACATGGGACATGAACACCAGTCTCCTATGTGAAACATGGACTTTCTCACTATTTATAATACGTCAACCGACTTCCTCCTTTGCTAACATCGTACATACATCATAGAGCTTGCAGCCACAATAAATGTAAATTAATGGGTTGTAATAAACTACTTGAACAAACAACCTATATGGGCATTCCTCTGGTGAGACAGGCTGCTTGTAAATAGTGGGTAGTGTCATGAGAGATGTAGATGTAAAGTTAGTGGTAGACACTGAGGATGGAAAAGGAAGCTCAATAACTGCCATACGAAACTTTAACCAACTGGGCTGAGCTGCACTGATGTCGGAGCAACCCCAGGGTCCACTTTAGTGTAATCCACGAAGGCTTAGCAAACTGACAGAATCACTCAGCTACTGGCTCTGACCTGGCACCCAGCTCCCTGTGGAGCAAAACTACACACACACACACACACACACACACACACACACACACACACACACACAAAACCACCAGAGAAAAGAAAAGAATGGGAAGATCTCATGGCAAACCACAAACAAGTAAGTGGGTGCTGGACTTGTAAACATGTCTCATTGTGTAATATACTGCATTCACTCAAAGGGGAAACACACGCAATGATGTGATGACAGTGAGTGATGTGTGAGAGCAGAGCGGTGAGATGACAGAAACACGGAGCACTAGCGTTTCTACAGCAGATCAAGTGTCAGAGTGGAATACCCCACTGTGAATCTTTACCTTTTCCACAACAGTTCTGTAAAATCGATTGAAGTGAAAATTGGTTGAAATAAAGAAACGCTTCATTTGGCAAGATGTTCATTCTGTATGACATTTAAGACAGAATAACATATTGTAATCCTTTACTGAATGAAGGTGAATATGTTTCCACATCTGTGAGCAATAAAGCGAGATGAGTTGCAGTGCACTACTTCAGTGCTGCGCACACACACAAGAACAACTATTCTGCTGTGTTTACATTTCCAATTACAATTATTTCCTCTATTCTTCTACTTTACAATGGCATTAAGTACAAAAAGCCCTAATAATCATGACAATAGGAGTTATGGCTAATTCATCACTAGGGAACAAGTTCAACGTTAGGACTTTTGGAATAAACATTGTTCACTCATTACTCTCTCTCTCCCTAATACTCACACATGCAAACACACACAAAAGCCTCAGTCATACACATTGAAAAATTGTGACCTATATGTATAACCTTTCTATTTTCAGTTGAGTTGTGCCCCATTGAAACAACTTGTGGTGCAAGTGGTTTCTTGGGGGGGGGGCATGGGATAGAACTGGCAGTGAGAGAAGGGGGAGCCGGTAACTCTGTGGCACCGGCCCTTCTCTCTGATCCAGTCCAGACTGTTTGCGACGTCACTGTGCGGTGTCCTGCCCTCTTTCTCTAAAACACACAACCGCATTCCCAAATAGCTCTAAATGCAGCTCTGCGGAGCGCTCTTATTTTGGCCCCGTTCTCGCTTTATGAGAGTTTTACAGTAAGAGCCAGGGAATGGAACAAGCTCGACTTTGGCTTGGAGAGATGAGCTTTGCCAGAGCTGTTGCACTGACAGCTCATGTATTCTGTTTTCTGAGGCTTTAGAGCAAAAATTGTAGATGTTTTCTGTTGTTGGTGCTCACAGTAGCGTGAGCACATTACCCCGTTTTAGCCTCGCTCCACTGGCTTCCTGTCTGCTTTAGGATTGATTTTAAGATTTTATTGCTTGTTTTTAAAATTTTAAATGGGTTGGCACCTTCTTATTTATCAGAACTTTTACATATACACACTCCGGTCCATATACTGAGGTCATCCAATCAGATGCTCCTCGATGTCCCCAGATCCAGGTTAAAAACTAAAGGTGACCAAGGCTTCTCAGTAGCTGCTCCAAATCTTTGGAACACTGCCCCGACTCCTGACACTATCTTTATTCATTGGCCTTCAAACAGAGTTGAGTAGTGACATTTATTTTATTGTTTTACTTTTTCTACCGCTGTTGTCATGTATATTTGTTGTCTATTGTGGAAAGCACTTTGGTCAACTAGTGTTGTTTTTAAGTTTGCAATATAAATAAACTTGAACTTGAACTTGAAGTAGTGTCATGACTTGATGTGGTGATTTGAACAGGAGTAGGACTGCAGACGTATACACGAGAATTCATCCAACCCTGATGGAGTGGGGTAAAAAAAATTGAGAGAGGTCAGAGTGCAAGCTGAGGTTTTGTTTCACAGATGCTTAAATGTGGTGTAAATTTATTATATCAGTATTTGTAGCCTGGTATATTGAAGTTACAGCCACTTCCACTGCAGGAATAGAATCAACAAAATATTTAGGAATCTACAAAGTTGTGGTCAGCAGATCAGGCTTCAGTAGAGGGAGGTTGCCTTATGTCAACCAGCTGCTTTGTTTAAGGAAAACACAATTTGTCACGTAATCGTCCTGAAGAACCTCAGAGGAATTTTAATGCAGGGGAAGAAGAATAGAATGAAACCACTTGATAAGCCTAGTGAACCTCAGTTTTTATCCAGCCCCTTCCATTCATCATCATAATTATCACCTTTGTATGAATACAAAAACACAGAGGCAACCAAGTGTTTATCACACAATAAATGCTTGGGTTATTTGCATATTTCAACATTTTGAAAATGTGAAACCCTCAATGTTCCTTTTGGGAAAAAAAACATTTCTGTGTACATTTGTTTCTGTTTATTTTCTATGAGAAAGGGAGATTTAAAAAAAATATGAGAGCAAAGCCAGACAGATAGATGGAAGGCTCATTTAGACAAATTGCTCTTTTCTTAGATAAACTCTGAAGAGCGGATGCCAAGGTTTACATCAGCTTAAAATAGCAGCTGAGCACCTCCTCCGAGGGTGTGCGCACTTGTGAAGCTACAAAATGCTCTTGCGGTGAATGCTTAATTGTGCGAGCAAAAACCCAAATCACAACCCTTTTTTGCCCTGTGACCGCAGCCAGAAGATGGTGTTGTTCTCTGCAGAACAGCCATATAAATATTTACACAGCGGCCCGCATTATCTGTCAAACCGTAGGTGGGAGCAGAGAAAGGGGCAGGTGGAGAAAGGCCTGCCAAGATCAGACATCCAAGTATTTCGTTTGAACATTTGGAAGTGTCCGTGCCTCTTGCTCTGACTGACTGAGTGTGTCGGGTAAGTCATACCTGTGCACCTGTGGGTTTCAGGTTTCCCCCGCATGGTGAATCAGCCTGCTGTGCACCTGGATTTCTGTTTATGCTATTGCTGGTGGAGTCCTGCTGGTATGAAGTCAGTCACTCGCTCTGACTTCCATGGAGCCAGCACGTGCCTTCATGTACATTTCATTCTTATAAACCCTGCTGTTGACAGGAGGTTAAATATGTAAAAAAGTCTGGCCGGTCTTGGTCTTTATTTTTTTTTCTTTCTCCCTCCTTGCTAACCTTATATCTTTCTCTCCTGCTTTTCCTTATTGACCTTCTTGACACCAATCAGAAATGTAAACACTTGTCATGATGTAACATATTTTGCGCAAGTGGGTGCACACGCAAGAGTGTAGACACACTCACACTCACACAGGGGCCAACATATGGGATGTGCTCCTAAAGTCAGTATCATTTTACCAATGTAAATATTAGTCAATGTCAGGACCGTTTACACTGTAATGCAAGTCCTTCTGCTCTACTTTCCTTAAAGCACTTTCTTTCTGCTCCTCTCCCTCGGGCCTCTCCTCTCACAACCCCTCTCCTCATTATTCCCCTCTCATCCAGGCCTCGTGTAATCCCCTGTCTCTCATTACCCAATCTTCTCTCCTGTTCTCTGCGTCTCCTCCTGAGCTCCAGCAGTCTCTGACAAGGCCCAGTCATCTCCCAGACAGCTCCCTTCCCCCGACATTGAAAATCCCCCTCTTCCTATTCTCCTGACACAATATGATTAATCATTCCATTAACTGATCCACTGTCATTGGATTGGTTGAGGGGCACTTATAATGCAACCTCAACCACCCCCCTGAGAGACACCCAATCTTCAGGCGATCTTCCAGAGCTCTCAAGCAAACTCTCCTCGTCTTTGTTCACTACACGCCTAAAACAGCTGTCATCCAATGTGGGTTTGACTGTTAATCAACCTGCACATGGGTGAGAAGACTGAATGAAGAAATGTAACTTGGTTCAGAAAAACCATGAAATGCTGTTTTACAATTTCAAAGAAAAGGAAAAGTTTGATCTTGGAATCAGTGGTCATTTCTCTATTAAAAAGGCACACACATTTCATATATTAAGTAGTATATAAAAGAAAAGGTTTATGTCAGGAGATAATAAATAGTCAAAAGGCACAGACAAACAAAATGTGACCAGTACAATACAATAATGAATACTGTGAGTAAATACTTCTCTGCTGGTTTTACATTTGATATTTATTGAAACAAAGTAGAGCATTTTGTAGTAGAGCCAAATTGTAAAAAGTAACAAAATATCAGCTATAACACATTACGTTTAACAAACCTCAAATTCATAGAGAAGCTTATAAATATACATAATTGGATTTAGAAATAGTTTTGTCTATTGAGAATCATCACAGGGATAGTGCGCAGTTAACAGAGTGGTACTGAAAATCTGTGGCGATCAAATCTGAACACCTGCTATATATATATATATATATATATATATATATATATTATATATATATATATATATATTATATATATATATATATATATATATATATATATATATATATATATATATATATATATATATATATATATATGTGTGTGTGTGTGTGTGTGTCAGTAAAGCTGAACATGAGTCAGAAGAAAGAATCCGTGTTTCAAAACAATAAGGTGCATTTCCCTTTACGAAAACAGTGAAGAGCCGTATTAGTGAGAACACAATTTTTAAAAAGTGACTTCAAAACTTGGGGATGTCTGACAAAATACTGATCTATGATGGAGATGGTGGGTGTTTTTATTTTCTGTTTTAAGCTTAAAGGAGGATCTGGTTAAAGAAAATAAATACAGTTTACTGATTGGTTGGATAGACATACTATATACACAGAGCATGGAATATTTCACCACTGTAACCACAACATTGCCCATATATATTCAAACCATGTTAAGTATTGTAGAATAATGTTAAATGGATAATCTGAATTAATATGGAAAAGAATGTAGACTATAATATTGATATATTTGCTGATGCACTGTAGTAAAAAAACAGCTGAACAGACACATACAGACAGGTTTAAGCCTCTGTATCAAAGTGCATAATGGTGGAGGGCTTGTTGCAGCACCTGGGGAACTCTAAGGCTTCTGGAACAGCTTAATAAATGGCCCAATCCCCCCAAAACAGCCCTTTAATTGTACCCATTGTACTCCAAGGACTCGGACCAACGGTGTTCCTTATTGTACATATGATGAGAGGGGACAAGTAGGTGTTTATAAGGATGTGAAAGCTGGTGTGGGACTGGGCCCACAAAAACACATCCATACACTACAGCACACAGGCATTCTCCTCTCAACACAGTCACTTTGAAAACAACAAACCTCTTAGTCAACTATGCCACAAATATCAAACTCTACTCTTGTTAGGAAATGGGAAGCACAGTACAATTTCGCTATCAGTGTGACCCACCTGACGAGAAAAACTGTATTTCCTAACATTAAAAAAAAAGTGTAGGGGTTGGTGGGGGCAGATTTCCAGCCAGTTTTTGGAACTTGAAGGGGTTAAAATTGGCTGGTGATGACTGGGCCAAAATAAAACATAACAATCTCAAAATAAATATTTCACGATACTCTCAGACATAACATTTTTTTTTGAAAAAAAGAGTCAGTCTTTTTGCAATGGCATAATTGTTTAACTCTATAAATATAATTTATATAGTTTCTTTCTTCCATTCTCTCTCTGTCTGTGTTCAACTCCTTTGCTCCTCTGCTCATGGATACACACAGATGTATGTCCATCGTCTGCAAGCAAACACACACAGGCCACACTTCTCCTCTCACTTGCAGACGAATTGGTCTACGTTTTTGGTGCAGCGCTTGCACTTGACGTAGCAGCACCAGTGGAACTTACAGTGGCAGCGCTCCACTATCTGGGCCTTGTACTGGTCATAGCCGCGTCCGCAGCACATCAGCTCGCACCCATCCATGCCCTCTGAGGTCTTGTTACAAAGGCGCCCCACTGTGCCCAGGGAGCCCGTGCTCTGGTTCTTCAGGCAGTAGTCTGGACTGGACTCGATGTACACCAGGTCTTGGCTGGTGGGAGCGTTGAACTTGTTGTGGATCTGCACCATCTTCCCACGCGAGTTGAGCTTCATGGCGGCCGCGCTGTCGTACTTTTCCTTCAGCGCATCGCCCACCTTGCGGAAGTCTGCCAGCTGCAGCCAGCAAGTCTTCAGGCTGCAGGAGCCCGATACCCCGTGGCACTTGCAGGACACGTGGGCAAGGTCCGACACCGTCTGATAGTGGGGAGGAGAGAATGAAAAATAACTGGATTAATAACCACATGAGGATATTGCAAAAACACTAATTCTTGTGTGGCAATCTGCAGGGGGGAAAAAAAGACACATGCTTCATATTTTTAATTTGACCTGTCTGCATAAATATTTGCACAATGTGCAGCTCAGGATCTCATAGGGCATCACTTTGCCATACAGGGCCGAATGATCCTGTCCATGTCTCAAATAATGCCCCGAATAAAATGTCCACTCATTTGTCCTACTTGAAAGAGAACAGCCTGGCAACAGATATCTGGCATTACGTTTCCTTTGAGGTGGTTTCCAAGATGTTTGGAGAGGAAAAGAAACCCCCAGAGCTGCCTCTAGTGACTCCATCTCCCCACAGATCAAAGCCTCAGGAGAGGAGAGCTGACAGAGCTGTTACAAAGATGATCAGTGGAGACCTATTAGATTGACCTGGATTGTCTCACTTCCAACTCCTCCTGCTCTTTTTATCACTGGTTGGTCTCATTCTAGGGCCTGCAGTTTATATCTTTCAGCTTGCATGTTATCTAATAACTTTGTGGGTGTGTGCTTGTGCGTTTGTGCATATAACCTCAGCGTCTTACCCTCCTTCCAGCCTCATTGTTGTGAAGATTCATCAACAGGCGGGCGCTCTCATATGAGCCTTTGGGGTAGCTCTTCTCCCTCTCGCGTGCATCCACAAACTCCTTGGAGAACCTGTAGCCGTAGTTGAGGTTGTCTCCGCAGCCGCCCCACAGCCAGTCTCGTGGCAGGTCTTTGGGGCGAGCCGCACGGCTGCACCCACAGCTGGAGAGCTCCCCCTCTCTGCAGGCACGGCTCACCGCGTTCACCACCCCTGCCGCGCTGATGGCATAAGTGAATGCCGTTTCTCGACTGCCTGCAGACACACAAACAGGACCATCATGCCACATTTGAAGAAACAAATTTAGAAAATGAATGTCTAAATGCACGCCTGTCATTTTGCATATCCATGCACTGCTTCCATTTTTATAAGTTATGTATGTGTATTTGTTTTATACTAAATGTGTGTCACTGTCACTTTGCCTTAAAGATTTGTACAGTGTTATGAGACATAAAGTCATATGACAGCATTCATCATACATTCAAGATTAGAGAGCACATCAGCCAACTGCTGCAGGCTCCTCATCATCATCATCATGTTGAATGGTGGAAATCTGGTTTGCTGTTATTGGGCTTCGGCCAGAAAGAAGAGAGCGCCCTCCAGTGACAGAGATCCTTCTTAACAAGTGGCTTAAAGTCCACCCAAATTGGAAGTGACAACAGCTCTTTTACTTTATCTGTCATGACTGACTGATTCTGGTGCAGTTACTCATTAACTCCCTCTGTTTCTACCCTCAACATTTCCTCCATAGAGACGAGAGTGAGAGGTCTTAAAAAGAGTCTTGAAAAACAAAAGAAATACACGTAAGCAGTTACGTTTATCCAAATGCTCGATCCATTATTACCACTGTACAAAGCCACAGATTAGAAGAGGAAACCAAGATGAGGAGATAAGCAACTATAGAAGAAACAGCCGGCCAAACTATGAGGCTGCGCGTTGACATCGAAGACGGGGGCTGCTACAAAATAAAAATGCACAGCTCATATACCTGCTGGGCCAAACCTTTAGAGAGCGTGCTATAATGACAATAACAGATGGACAGAGAATGGGGGACGAGGGAGTAGAAAGAAAAGACGACTGAAGAGATAAGTCAAGAAAAAGACATTTAAGAAAAGAAAAAGCAAGCAAAATGGAAAAGGGGATGCATGCGTGCACTTAATATCACAAAAAGACGGAAAGAAGACAATGACGGAGAAGCAAAAGCAGGAATAAAGAAAGCTTTTGGAAAATCTAAAAAATGTTCAGGTGGGGAACGTTGGCAGGAGCATAGATGATAGATATTGGCCTAATAGAGGACAAACTGTTGTCTCCCACACTGCTGCCTCCCTTCCCCTGTACCCCAAGCCAGGCAGGGGGAGTGGGTCTGAACCCAACCACGCCAGCACCCCCTGGAGCTCAACTTTAAATCACCAGCAGTGTCCTAAGCCAACAGACAGACAGACCGCAACCAAGACAGGATTTCAGATAGACAGCCATAGAGGGGAGGACATGTTTACTTGGCCCAGAGCAGGCTGAGATGGGAGCAATGTTGGGGAGGGAGAAGAGGAATGGGAAAACGGCTGCTGATGAGGTTTCTATGAAGATCGATCTGTGGAAAGGGAGTCAGCAGCGCCAGAGACACAGGCAGGCACAATCACCAGGAATAGAGTAAAAACACAAACACTCAAAATGTGTGTACACAATGTCACGTAGGTTATGATCACAAACACAACAGGATAAGGGGTCCGTTCATAGAAATTTAAAAAAGATCACAGCTCTAGTGATCTATTAATGCTGACAGTTTCAGTATGTGCTGAGGTCCTGAGATATCCATCTCTGAGATTTTCGCCATCACCAATATACAGTGCAAGCGAATGAAATTTTGCTTTTGTTGCTCATACCATTACATTTAGAGTTTCAACAGAAAACCTATTTTCAGAAACAATGCCCTGCTTACTTGAGATCATCCACAGATCACGGTGTGATCGGCTTTCAGTGAAACTACTCTCTGTCCCAAAAATAGTCACCAAGAATACTGTTGACAGTGTGTTCTGCAGATTATCCAGAGTAATGGGAACATTATTTCTGGAAAGACAAGATGCTGTTGAGTGCATTAAATGTTATTTTTAAAGCTGTGAGCACCACAAATGAAATTCCATTCATCATTCATTCCATTAATTGCATTAGGGTGGAAGCAGAAATCCCAGAGATGGATATCTCATCATCTGGACATGTGTGTGAGAAAACTGGTTTTAAAAAAATTATTTAGGCGAACCTACTCTTTACAGTTTAAACATGAACTGCATGTCTTACTGAGGAGGAATTTGAAAGATTCCCAAAATGTGAGCACCACAAACGCTGGCTGGTATGGAAACTACAAAACGCGATCCATTCAGATGTTGCCACTATGCAGCCGAAGCCTGTTGTAACTCTGCTGTGATCACTTGCATTGCATAGATTTGTTATTATTCAGCTGGAGAGTTATGATCAATAAACGGTAAACCACCTTTACATTAGCCCCTGAGGTGAAGGCTCAAATCCAAAGAAAACTGAAACAAACCATGTTAAACGATAGGATCCAAGAATGGGATTCGCTTTTAAGAGAGGATTGTAAAGCTCTTGAACTTTTGTATAAGAGGTCTGAGAACACTGCATAGATGTGCACACACACACACACACACACACACACACCCACACACGTATATACACAGACAGTGTAATCTCTGACAAGGTGATATATTGGTGCATACACTCACTGCACTCCTATTACTTGTAAATACAGGGCAGCTACAGTCCAGGTCCACTGTGTGTGCATCTGTATGTGTGTGTGTGTGTTAAATGAGATTAGATTGTCTCCCATTCATCAGGGGAAAAGCAGATTCGCTGCCTCCCTCATGCTCAATGTCGGGAGCTGGTTTAGCAGCCCAAAGCCACATGTGATTTATCCAGCAACCTCACCCACCAGCTATTCCCTCCACACAGCTGCTGAGAATCAGCAGCCCCATACACACACACACACACACACACGCACACACACGAGGGTCAGTGAATCAGAGAGAGGGAGAATGAAGAGAGGAAAGGTGTGGAATACACAGACTCTAAATAACACTGCCGAATATGAAGTGCATACATGTGCGTATTTTGGCATTTGTGAACTCACATGGTGTTTGTGTCTATTCACGTGTGTTTGTAGACATGCTTCTCAGAATATATGCTTTTTTTAATACATCCTTTGCCCCTGTCTTACCTATTTGCATGACCCGTCCAAAAACAGAGGAGTTGTCCACTGTGCTGCAGTTCCAACGCCGATGTCTGAACTGGTACTGGCACTCTCTGATGCCTGTCTTGGCACCTTCACCGATGTACTGCATGTGGTCCTGGTAGAGCTGGCACAGCTTCTTCTGGCCCTGCGACAGGCCCACCAGCTGGCTGCACAGAGGCTGGGCGCCGATGATGTAGGCCTCCGGGATCAGTAAAGGGTTCATGGCCAGAGACCTGGATTTGGAGGACACCATAATGCAGTCGTTTTCACTCATACCCCAAATATAGGTTTTTAGGCCAAATTCACAATCAACATCTGATTTCACTTGATTAGTTTCTCCCGCTCTTGGACGAAGCTATGTCAATCAGAGAAATTCGTACATTCATACTCTTCACTCTTCATGACTGTGCTATTTAGGGCCAAGGACATACAATCGAAGGCAGAGACAAGTGAAGAAAAGCAGAGTCAGGGAGGGAAAATGGAAAAAGAAAGAAAATTTAAAGTAAACGAATAGAGTAAACTAAAAACATAGGGAAAATCTGACACAAACTTTCTTTTTTAAAAACTTTATAGCCACGCAATGCCTGTCAAATACACCCCAGCATGGCTTGCATATTTGTTTAAAAAAATTTGTTAGAGGCCTCAAGAAGCAAAACTATCCAGTATTTTACAAAAAAGCAGAGATTAAAGAAGAGTCCACACAAATGAACCAACTTTTGTGTAGCAGAATAATTTTTTCTTCTTTCTAACTTGTTAAAAAGTGAGTAAACCCCTCTCATTTAATCTTGTAAATCTTTGGAATGGCCCCCAAGTCCCGACCCCAGGTTGGGAAGCACAGTCTTAAAGGATAGCATTTAGCTGACCAAAAATGTACCATGCCAATTGAAAAAAAAAAAAGAGAAAGTTTGACATTTTTGCCAAGGTGCATTTTACGATGACGGCAACTTAATGCACCAGACATATAACTGTACACTATGAAATTTGTATACCTCTTAGTGTACCACTTGGGGAAAAAATCTGATCATTTCATATAAAGAAACAGCTTCATTAAATTGTGTGTAAGCAACAGACAGAAATTAAATGGACTGGAAGAGAGAGCGAGAGACACGGACAACACAGTTTAAATAGAGAGAGGAACACTAGTATGAGCATCTGGTTCCAGGCCACAGGACAATTAGAGCAACCCATCCCTGAGCCCTAAGAGAAAGACAATTAGCCCCCAGTGTAACCTGATAGACTTGGGAAACTCAGCAGCGAGGGAACACAGAGTGAATACACACAACATATAGGCACAAGTACACACATAAGAAAAAAAACAAAAATTTAAAAATCACCATACACACCGTTTGTTTGCTCAAACACACATGCAGACTGGCGCTGTGTGTCTCTCTTACACTCACACATACAGAATCAACTCCAGCACTCTAAATCATTCACACCTGTGTGTCCTCTCAAGGAGGAAACTGAAAGACACACACAGTTTATGCTCCAAACTCAGCTTTCAAAATGGTCTGTGTTGTGTGCGAGTCCTCAGTTGGGTCCATAATTCAACTCATTGTTTGAATTTTAACATAGTCGCCTACTGAGCTGAGCCAATTAAAATATCTTCATCTTTATAAATCCTCTTCAAATGAATTGTTTAAATTATTATTTTCATGTAATTGGGCCATCGCCACATGATGTCACCATTGGCTTTGATCCACTGATTTTAAGTAAATAAAACTCTTACAGAGTGCGGCTTTCCTGTAAATGCTCTGTGTTCTTCTCACAAGCGCTCAAGTTGGGATGAACAGTTATGCTCAAGTGCACAATTAGACAAAAACACAAACAGCCACAGGATGTAAAGAGTTGTGATTTGCTTTAAGTGGTGCTTCTTTGGTGAGTGGTAAATAGTATCCCCCCCCCCCCCCCCCATCAAAAGTACTCTGTTTAAGTGCAGCATGCTCAAATATGGACGTTTCTAATAGCAGCAGGACATGTGTCTACACACACACACACACACACACACACACAGTCATGCACATATTTGGACGCCGACTCATAGACCACAGAATTCTATGTTTTCTATAATATTCATAATTTTGGTTTGGCAATATGCAAAGAAAGAAAATAAGGGGGAAAAAAGGTCTTCCTGAAAAGCTAATGTGCAACAGTCAGCATGTTGTGTTACTTCATATGTGGTATAACTGAAGCTGAGGAAGCTTACTTAGCAAACACACACCCGCACGCACACACACACGCACACTAAAAATTTACTCTGAAACTAAGTAAAATACAAATAACATTAATAAAGTGTTCTTTTAAAAATAAATATTACCCTAAATCATTGGCTTTTTCCCCCCGTCTTTAAAAAAACGTTTTAGGCACTACTGCCCCATTTACAAATGTGACTTCAATTAAAAGAAGAAAATGCCTTTTGAAAGCTGACAATCTCCACTGGCCACATCACAAGCGAGCACACACAACACCACACCGTGCACAAATGAAGGCACAACCAGAAATACTATGCATATGGAGAGAAAATGAATGCATACCACCAAGAGTTGGCCTCCACCACCACCTGCATGAGGAGTGTGAGGAGTGTGAGGGCAAAGACACAGTTTCTGGAGTCCAACACGCTGCCAAAGGGCCAGCAAACCGGCCGACACACACAGCCCAGCCCCAGTTTCATGCTGCCGCCGATCTGAGGGAGGACAGAGAGAAAGATGAATGTCAGTCTGGATGTTTGTCTTACACACAGTTAAATGTAAATAATACAGAACAAGAGACATGTCTATGATGGGAATGCAGGAGAAATTCTTTCAGCTGTATGCCTACATATCTAAACTCTTTCTTTTACATGCAAACAGCACTGAGTGTGTGCGTGTCTGTCATTAGAGCCCTGAGGCCATCAGTGCTCGCACAGCAGAGCAGTCATTTGGCAGCAGGTCTGAGTGTGAATCACATAAGACATATAGACGTGCAGCCGGAGAAGACACACTGACCATGAAACCCCATCTAGACACATTCCAGACAGTTCACTTTACTCAGAGAAAGAGACACAAAGACAAATACAGACAGAGGGACAGACAGAGAGGCCTTGTCAGATAGTGAGTGTGTGTTACTTTAAATACATTTTGGCTTACTTATTTACTGTTGACATAAGGGTCAAAACAAAAATCGTCTCCGTTTTAACCAACATTTATGATTGCATTTTTAATGCAAAAGATGGTTACCTTACACAAAAAATAAGATGTAAAATATGGGCTTAGAATAAGACACATTGTTTTTATTCCATACTGATTTATGTTCACTCTATGGCAGGCCTAATTTGTATTTGTTCCTGGTGCAAAGGTTTAATTTTCTTTGGTTATGTGAATAAGAAACATATGTGCGAAATATTAATAAGATTGTTATACAAATTCGTAAATTTCGTTTTCATTATAATTAATTTAAAACATTTAATTGGACTTAACAATATTTATACAAAACATGGAAATTAAAACCAAGACATTTGATTTTTTTTCCAACAGCTCCCTTTGCCATCTGTGATTTATATGGCTAATTATTATATATGTCATTAGGAAACTAGTGGTCATGTGGGTCTATAATTATATACAACTGAATGTTCATATTTATTAATTGACTATGGATCGTACAGCAAGAAGGCACGTCAGCGGGTGGTATATGGCCTGGATATACTATGCAGCCTTTTGCTATAACAAAAACTAGAAGGAATTAAAAGGAGGAAAAAAAAGTCAATTATCTGCGCGGCTTTGCTGATACAGTTTGGCAGCTATGTAGGCAGTAAATGAGTTAAAATAATTACCCCTAAATTTGCGAGTGAAACCGGTGTGCCAGCCTTCCAGTTGGGCCGTGTGTGAATTTTGGGACTCACAGCAGCTCTAATTTGTCACGCTGCGTTATTTTCCAGGGTTGAGTCGGTGGAGACCTGGGCCTGCCTAATACTCATTAAAAGGCAAGGCCAAGTTTACCATCACTCACCCAGCGTGCGCGCACACACACACACGAGCATGTGCTTTCAGTTTGCGCGCTGCTTCAGTAGGCTAATAGTTGGCGAGGTTATGTTCCTTGCAGTTCTTCCACATAAAATAAAAGCAATAATCCACAGAGGGCGGCGGTTTTACACTGATTTTAAACCAACTAATTGGAGCTCCTATGCCCGCCAGGAAGCGGATTTAAAAATATATTTTAAATTTAGGGAAATTAGGTTCACAATTTTTTTTTTTACTTTTGCGCCAAGCAGTAGGCTAAACTTAATCAGGAGTGACTCAACAGCGGGGGGTGACACAGGTTTCATTTTGCGTATGTAGCCTAGCCAACATGAACTGTCATGATGCCACAGGAGCTTGCAATTATCTGACGTTGCACAACTGAGTCTCAGCCAATCAGAGTACAGAACAGTAGCCCTAATTATTTTATTAATTTCTGCGGCGGCAGCTATTCAACACTGTACATTGATTTATTATTTTTGTTACACTTAAAATATATATTCCTGCATTTGGCATCCCCGCTGCAAGCTGTTTAAATGCTGCGCCCCGTGAACCCTGGAAGGGATTTGACCCGAGTAAATGTGAGTGAAATATTCACTGGACTTGGCTGGATGACTGACGACTACCTTGCTGATTTCTGTTGGTAAAAGTGGCGTAAAAGAGGCATCAAATTGGCATCACATTTCAGGAAGAAAACAATTAGAATACCGTCTTCCGGGTGATAAAACATCGGGCTGCTGTTGCAAGGGATCGCTTAAGAGGCTATTCTAAAAGGCCACCTGAGACTAAATCGATTTACATTAAAAATAAAAAGGTAAAAAACGCAGCCTACCGTGTTTTTTTAAATGACAAATTATTTCACCTATAGGTAAAATTTGGTCCTCTGACATTGTTTTGGCACTCTTTGGCTGGAACCTTTGGCCAAACTATCATAACATTATTACAAATAAATGTAAGAGTATTTGAAGAGTCTTAATAACACATAATTGTGAAAATATAAAGGAAGCAATAGAGGGATATTGTGTTCATTTATAACAACTTTTAACGGATTTTTAAGACACTATATCTACAGAATGGCCTGCATCTTTAAGCCTCTGATCATGTTCTATCCTCTGATGTATGGCGATAACTTGTTTTTTTGGGGGGGCGTATTTATGCGTTGGGGTGCGAAAATCGAAAGAGCAATTAAATAGGCCAGAGAATATCCATCTTTTCTCAAAGTGCATGGCACTAATTAATTTGCTGACAAATGAGTGAAAAATTAACCGAATTTAATTGCGCAAAATGAGGAGCCTATTTTTTCCTGCTTGTCCTGTGTTTTAAAAAAAACCAGGAGAGGGAGCCAGGTACAAGGATTTGATGAGGAGAAGTAGCACAAAGAACTTTGCCTGACTTTAAATGGGGACCGTTAACAATGAAAAAGGGAAAGCAGACACTTTTTTAAACATTTATATGCATTTAAAACAAACAATTTTGTTCATTCAGGACACGGGCTTATGGGTCACAGTCAATGCAGTCTGAGGGGGTGGGGGCATGTTTCACACATCACATCTGTCAAAAACTTCCACATCTAAGAGCCAGTATTAGTCCCAAAAAGTCCCACTGAAACACGCAGTTTCCACTCTAAGATAAACTGCAGCTGCATGGAAAAGTGAGTGAACCAGGAGACCTGTAGGTCCTACTCACCAGGGAGCACAGCCCGTTAGAAGTTATAATCCACTTTCTGCAGACGATATCAAACCAATAATCCCAGTGAAGGCCAGGTGGATTTACGATTTCCTTTACCGCTGCAGGGAAGAGTAGTCTCGTCGTTTTATCCGGATCTCTCGGAAAGTGCTTGGTTAGGGTGAACAGAGTGTTAACGCTAAAGCGGAGAGGTCTTCAGGTTTGGGGTTTTGGTCAACTCGGACGCCCAACAATCAGTGAATGCGCTCCGTGCGCCAAACAGTTTAGAGGGCTGGTAGTAAGCAGCGGGATATATGAAATGTCCATAAGACAGTGTGAGGAAATTATCAGTTCCTTTAACGAGTCAGTGCGTGACTTTGCGGTGACTATTAACAAATAAAACCCATCTACGGAAACTCAAAGTGACACTGGCGGAAACGTCGGATGTACTTTGTCGGTTCTCTTCTAATTGAAAGCGGCCTACTTTTAGACTCTCTATCCAAGTAAAAAAAATGACCTCCCGATTATAGCTACACTATGTCAGAACAAAAACAACACGAACAATGTGATGAACAATAAATCCAGCCGCGAACACGCTCAGGTCATAGCGCGTTTTACCTGCGGAAAGATCCACTGGGTGATCCTCGCCACAAACGACTTGTCAATTTACCTTCCATTCTGTGCAATAACGACTTTGACAATTCCTCTTCTTGAGTCAAGTGTCGTCACATGCAAAAAAAAGTAGTCATCCGCCTCGCCAAAAAACAAAAACAAACAACAGATGCCACAATTAATCGGCTCCAGACAGTATGCTCCAAAAAACTTTCCGCGCGGACTATCTCCAAACAGTGCGGCTTGGCGAGCGCGCACGGTGCCAAGGGGAGGAAAAGAGCACAGCGTGTGAACAACAGCGGCTTTGCTGAGGCTCCGAGTCTGTCGTCCTCCCACACCGTATGTGTGTGTCTCGGTGTGTTGAAGTGCAGAAAAGTATCGCCGGCTATCCCTCCCTCTCTCCCTCTCTCTCCCTCTCTCTCTCTCTCTCTTTCTCACCTGCTTCAGACGCCTCCTCTCACAAACTACTTCACTGCGGCATGGATACGCAGCGCAAAACCTTCAGATGGCGCATGCGCTTCACATTTCTCCTCAATTCCCCCCCTTTTTTTCTTCTTCCAGCAGTCACCAACTTTCAAGCAGCAAGGAATTTGAGTGTAGGTAAAATTGTGGAGAGAGAGGAGAAAGAGAGGGAGAGAGAAGGGCGGAACAGGCTGTAACAAAACAAGCGTCTCTATTACCTAAAATAAACGTATAACGCACCCGAGGCGATTACCTTATCCATACCAAGGCAGAGGTAGGATTTTCACTGGCGGCAGCTCGAGTTACCACTCAGCTAAAATCAAGACAAGCAGGTCCATATCGTGTGCTTATACAGGCTGCTCTCATCACCTGAAGGCCTGCGAGTATTACGGTCATTACGGTAATTATTATTGCATGGTACATTATCTCAAAACACGCTGCAGGAATCTGCACAGTTCACAGTTCGATATTTTTCAATGAACCCGGTGATGAGTGTCAGAGGACAAAGCGTTTAATAGTTTCACGTGTGTCACTGTAGATTTCTCAGTCTGTACACGCTGAAGGCATTCAAGGGTGAACGCCGTGTAATGCTCAATCGCGCTGGACAGAACAGCATCTGGATTGAGGAAATACAGATAGAATAACAGTCAATAAAAGAAGTAAAACAATGTTCAAATTAATGGGCGGTAGGTGGGGGTGGGGGTATCACCTGAATATCTGGCTGTGTGCCCAAATAAAGACATGCCTCGGGTGATAGAGGGAGGAGAAACAGGAGGGGAAGAGATTCATTCAGACCTTTTTATTATACTGATGTTGTTTTAGCCTTAGTTATGTGCATCAATCTTACAGGTCTGCTACCGATATGATTTAAAATCAGCTCCTCAACCCTTATTTAAATGAAGGCAGAATCAGTATTTGTCAGTATCACAGACAATATGTATAAGAATGGTCATTTCTATTTCAGAATTGTACATGAAACACCTAATTTTAAGATCCTCTAGTGTTTCTGTAAAAAAATGTAATAAAAAACATAGCTGATTCCGGCCCCCCATTTTTCTAATTGATATATTTATGAGTCAACTCATAATGCTTTTGTGAGAGCCCTCATTATGCCATATTTTCCCCAATGCGCACATCTCCTCCAGGAATTAAAACGCTTCACATGTCCGTGAATACCTGTGGCAGAATTGAGTGTGAAGTGCCTGCAAATCTTGCCGGAGTTCTGTTCCCAGCTAATGTTACTGTGGTGGATGCTGGAGGCTGCGACTGCGTCAAAGAGCACTTAAAACATGCTCAGCCACATTTCTGATCCCTCACCATGCCTCCCTACCCCCCTCCCTCCTCCATCAACCCCCAACGTTCCCCTAGGAAGAAAACTGGGCAACATCTGGCCAAGTTTATGAGAGAGAGAGAGAGAGAGAGAGAGAGAGAGAGTGAGGGGGGGTGGGGGGAGGAGAATTGGTAGACCATGAAACTTGGGAGAATTCTTTCATGGGCAGTGCAAGAATCTATTGTTGTAGTTGCCATTAGTGGCGGTGAAACTATAATCTTGTGAAAATACCCATTGTTGCGCTCAAATTTACCAATAACACAGCCGATGTCAATGTTCACACTATTGTCTTTCTGATAAAACACATGTTGCAGTTCTTGTGAAAACATCTTTTATTCAAACAACAGAAACAAGCTGACCACTGCAAAACACCGTGGAACAAGTCAAGGGTGAGTTCTGTTACCCTGTTCTGTTACAGTTCACAGTCAACACACTCATGAGAGCAGCATGAAACCACACACACACAGACACACACATGCACACACACTGTACAAAAACTGTACATACTAGGTAAGGGTTAAATGGCAACACTGTTTTACTGTTGAATAAAAACACAACAATACTGTACCTTATTGTCACCTCAGTACACCTCCAGTACAGTGAAACAAGTAATGACGCAGTGCTTTTAAATGCAAGTGACTTCATTATAAACGGATTAGCCACTCAGTTTCAAAGGATCAATAAATAGACAGCAAAATAATATATCACTCATCAGCGTAATAAGTCCCACACGCAGCTGTTTAATTTCCACAAAAAAAGAAAAGAAAAAAGAAGAGTGGCACTCGAAACTGTTTCAGATGTAGAAAAGCAAACAGAACATGATATTGGTTCATTAAACAAACGCACAGCAGGCTAAAAGAACACAAGGAGAAAGGTATAAACTGACTGTAAGCTGGCTGATTTGAGGTTAGCGGTGGTTTCCTTCCTTGTTAATAAATGTCCTGATTTACAGAGAAGGTGTGAGTTGATCCGCAAACTGTATCTTGTGGGGCATCTTTAAGCCCAAATGCGCCTTTCCTTGTTGATCTCTCTGCAGGAAGTAGGAGTTGGTCAAACAAATGAGTAACCATTTACTGGCTAGTACAAATGATTCCGATGCAGTCTCATTTCAGGAATTTGTTTCAGCACACAGGTTGTCTCCTTTGGCACAGTACATTGAGAAGGTCTCTGTGGATTGTGGAATTTGAGGTCCATGTTGTGATATTTATAAAAGTTCGCTATTTAGCTGCAGGTGTAAACACATTCATGCCATCATAAACCAGTCCGGGATTGCCATGGGTTTACAGCTAGTTCCACTGGCTCAGCTTAGCCACACCAGTAGTCGACAGTGGTGGAGTGATTGTCGGTTGATGTGAAGCCAGAACTCTGTAGCACTGCAGTACTGTAAAGTGAATCCAGCTTCCAGTCTATTGAAAACAGCTAGGGAAAAGAAGGCAGTGGACCGCTTGCCAATACCTCGAAGCTCCACACTGGTGACTGATGTTCTGGTGAAGGACATTCACCCACAGTGGGCTTAGGTCCTCAGTTGGCCATTGCATTTTGTCAGTGAAGGCGACATTCATCAGTAAGATTGAGAATGTCTGACCAGCTGAACGCTGAGCTTGTCCACAATACATTAAAACGGTGGGTCCTGGAGTGTGTATATATCTAGTATGTGTGTATCTGTTTATATATGTATGTCTGATGGTCACGATGGTGGGGAGGTATGAGTCTGCATTCTTGCCGTTGAAGCTCTTGAACCTCTTGGTACCTGGCTCTACAAGCAGCTGTGGAAAGAAACATGGAGATAAATAATCAGTATGAGAGGTCAACCACAAAGAATGAAAAACAATTTGAAAATCCACACAGTGATGTGAAGATGCTTTATTTAGACAAGGATCTTAAGTTGTTTTTAATTTCTCCAGTTGCCTCCAAACAGTCGCATCATACAGTTACATAGCTTGATACAAACAGAACTTCGACACAGATATTTTGTTCTTTCTTAGCGTTAGGTTGACCATTTTCTTCCTCCAAATGTCTGGCGAGCCTCCAGGGCTCCTTAAGAATGCTTTAAATGCAGCTGGCAGCAGCCCAAACATCAAGTGCTCATTAATAAAAAGAAAGAAAGAAAAAAAAACTATCGGAATGTGTCTGTTATTCGGGCCTCACAGCAGTCAGCAACAACTCACTTCTTTCCTGAGGGTTAGGTGGTTAAAAAAAAGAAACAATGATGTATGTCTAGTTCACTGGGTGCGCCTCATTGGCTGAGCAAACAGGCCCCAAAATAACTACCAATCACTGAAGAAGTTATCATCAGTCACTCTGGAGAGGGCATAGTAAAAGCACTTTCATACAAACTTTGTATGTTGGGGTGCCAGAGACGTTCAGGTGAAGCTGAGGAATATGTTGTGATAAAGATGATCGGATCTGTGTAGTGTGTGTGTGTTGCATAAAAATCCTATGTCCAGTTCTGCAGGGCTGCTCGCACTCTTCCTGTCTCACTCACATTGGCTACAAGGCAGAGAAGGACCATCCATTACAGCCAGGAGTAAATAAACACGAGCAGCAATTAAAGTGGCATCATTTGTTATGCAACACAGGGTGTGTGTGTGTACACAAGCCTGTTTGTGTGTAAGTGTGACCCAATGTGTGTCTGCCCATGTAGATGTATGCTTGTGTGTGTGAATTTTTGTGTATGTGTGCTGGACGCCATTCTCAGGTTTCTTCGCCGTCGTCTGCACTTAAATTAATGATTTGGGGGCCAGAGAATCAACAAATATGGCCCCCGGCAGGGCATAATGGAGAGCACGACCCGCCTGTGGATGTGTTTGAAGACCGCTCCTCTTTCTTCTCTGTCAACACCTCACTACCTCCACACAACAGACGCATTCACTACACAAAATCATGTGTGACGCCTGTGTTCATGTTGTTAATGAGGAAGTGTGTGTCGCTATGTGGTCATGAATGTGTGTACGCTTATCGGCCTGTGATTATTTTACATGTCAGCATGTTGTGACAGAGTGTTAAAATCATGTAGATTTTTCCGTCCTAAATTTGTAGTCATGATTTAGAAACAGGTGACAAAGCAAAGCATATTATATCAGCCAGGAAAGCTATTCTGGAAACTTGTGTTTGTTGAAATCAAATGGCGCGACCCTGTACGCAGGATAAGCGGTTGACGATGGATGGATGGATGGATGGATGGATGGATGGATGGATGGATGGATGGAAATCAAATGGTTCCGACAGGCTGCTTAAAGCCTTCTCATTGGTCCAAAAGGTTCTGCATCATCAGCTGCTACAGGCAGCAAAAAAATAAAGCCAAGAACATTTTAACAAATTGCATACTAGCTAGAACATGTCACTGTTTCTGTAACTGATCCTAAGAAATTTTGCATTAAGAAGAATACGATTGAAAACATCCGGCTGCTCTGACTGTGACGAGACAATTCCTTTACACGACTTGTTCCAACGGACATTTATCCAGTGTTGGAATGATGTTTGATACAAAAAACTTGCAGACAATTGTTTAGGCAGAGCCGCACAAGAGAAGACTTTTGACACAAAGTCATAAACACACCCGGAGATTCCATTTATCAAAAAGACAGCACTGTGGCTGCATAAGGAGTGTGGGTAGGAATGCGAGAAATTGCACTGTAATGTTCAAACCGTGAACTGAATCCTCACAGGAAATGGCAACTGATAAAACTAAAACATTAACACTCACTTCAACAGATCAGACTGATCTGTTGGAGTGATGACTTCACTTAAAAGTAGGCTTAGTGGGGGCTAATGGCACACACATTCACACACACATATGAACATACTATATGTTAACATATTTTTGAGTCTTATTGAGGTTTGCGTCCCTTTAAATCAAAACTTGCTGCTCTATCAATGCATACTTTCAAATGGCAAAAATCTAATTTCCCTCTCGCAGCACTCATCCACCATCTCCTTCTAACTCCAATCAGCCATTCCTATCTTCTACTCCCTGCCTAACCCTCATTTTCCTCCCCACTCCTCTACTCTCAGTGTGCTTGATGGTGGGATCAGACAGGGTGAACACTTTCTCATATTAATACTGGTTTAGCCTGCGTCTGAGGACAGGAAATCTATTGACTTATCAAAATCTGCAAATGCCCTTTGCATAAACAGAAGTCTGGTTGAGGTGAAGAAGCATTTATACAGCCTGGTACCCCTGTGTACCGGGCTGTATAAATGCATCCATAAATGTGTCCAGTATTGTGTATCTACATACACAACATACCAGGTTAAAGTCCTTGTAAGTTGTAAGGTAATCTAAATGAGGATGTAAGGTGTCTATTTTGTTAGTCCAGCTAAATATCCCCCAAAACCTACAACTGTCTGTCTTTGTCCTGAGGATTGGATATCAAGTCTGAGAGTCTGGATGTGAGCGGCAGAACCCCTTCTTCTTCTGTAAGTGCTACTAATATATACTGCCTGTTAAATGGATCCTTGCAGAGCTTTGGGACCACCAATGTTAAAGTGCTGCTCTTTCACTTGGAATTACCCTGTGGTTGGTGTCCTTTCACTCATACAGAAAAAAGAGAAACACTCCAAATTCAATTACCAGTACAAAGATTGGTACCCCCAGCCCCCTAACCCCACCCTGCCTCAACTCACTCTACCAAGAGGAGAGATGTAAAACAAGCCATTTGGTGGTATTAAGGGGCAGATATTGGGGTGAAATACAGAGAGAGAAGTGGTGAACTAGCGAATGTAGCGAAGAACTCGCTGTTCTTTCAAAAATAGTCTTACATATTTCTTTTTGTAGAGATACTTATAATACAGTATAATTTCATGTTTCGGGTGGTCTATTTAACCTGGGAAAAGATGGTCAGAAGAGAAGCAACTTTGACAAAAATGCCTTGCGATGAAAAGAACTACAAAAAAAATCTCGGCTCTTACCATATGTCTAATTTATAGAATGGAGCAAGTGAATGTAATGGAGATGGAAAAATGAAATCATACAGTATAGCATTTCTATTGCTCCATTGCAAGGTGTCTAAGGTACTCTATTACAACAAATGCGATAAAAAAACAGTTAAATGTGCTGCAGTTCCAATTCATTGATCAGAGGTCACACATTCCCATGAGTTAAAACCTCAGATTACGTATTAGATGGGTAAAAAAGGAAAAAGATCTGTGCGCACATGCCCATCCAATCATTTTGAAACCACAGCCCTTCAAAACCCTTAAAAATATGGTCCACATCAAGCCGTCCAAGGAAGAGAGAACATCTTCTGTGCAACAATTGCTTCAAGAGCTCTGCTCTTTCTTCCCCTACATTTCTCCTTTTTGCCTTCTCTTTCTTTTTTTCTGCCTGACTTTTACAACTTCCTCCTGGTTGGGGCAGCAGCTCTAACCCAAACAAAACTCCATTTTTTAGTTATTGGCCCTCATGGCATGTAATGGAGAATCAAGCTAATTATCCCTACAGCTGTTTTCACTTGCTTTTTATGTAAGCAATACCTGGCTGATCCAGAGAGCAACAGTGAGGCCCTTCTTAGCGCTCCAGGCCTCCAGGCCGGCTGGAATTAGAGAGCAAGATGCCAGGTTTTGCTCCCCCCAATACTGCCCGTGTGTACCCCTGCACCCATCTCCCAGCCCACAACCCGACCCAAAGCTTCCATTTCCACTCCCTAATACACCTCTCAAAACTCCCCCTTTGATGCCAAACAAAGGTGCTCTTCAGCAGTTAAGATGGATCTGCATGACAAGCGCTCATTTTCTTCCACCAATAGTCCCTGGCAATTAATAAGGAGGTGAGCTAGGGTGTGGCTTGGATTAAATTGGAACCATCTCCTGCTGTCATGGGACTAGAAAGAGAGACCGAGTGCAAAAGAGAAGAGGGAGTGAAAGAAAGGCAGAGAAAGGGGTGGGGGTGGGGGGGTAAAGAGTGAAAGAAAACAATCCCTCAAAGGCTAATTACATAATTTCCTTCATCTGAGCAAACACATGCTAGGTGAAAGCAAGTGTGAGCAAGCCTCACAGATGCCAGGCCAAGAGGTGCTGTGGAGACCTACTAACACAGTCTACAACTGCTTTATAGCAATGGACAGCCCATGCCAAGAAGGCACTAAGCTAGACCTCAGGGGCAACATTATCCACACTGTCTGTAGCTTTTGTGGGATTCATATCCAAAACCTTTGTATTGATCCTCCTTTCTCCAGCAATCTCAGGGTAAAGTGACTCTGAACAGATAAACAATTGCTGGTGTAACGTTTCCCTCATTTCATTCCTCACTGCAGCCAGAAATCTGTTCAGTACAAACACCACTAGGTGGAGTTGACTGTTGATGAAAAAAAAAGACATCTCATGTATCAAACTCATTAAACTCCCATGGAGAGGCAGCGTGCATCTGTAAGTGAGTCAGACACCGCTTCACATGTGCCATTTCGGAGTTCTTTCCTTGTTTAAACACTGCTTCACCAGTGTGCATCGAATCCTTGTTTCTCATCAAACTGACATCTGGTTTGATATTGACAGAGAGGGAAAAAGACAGAGGGAGACATTGGTAGCAATTTTAAGACTTCTATTATTTCAGCTAAATTATAGCAAAGACTCTGCCAGCTACAAAAAGTAAAAGAGCATTCCCTCCCCTGAACTCTCTCCCTCTCCCTTTCTCTCTTTTTCATCTCTAATCCTGTGAGGAATGATGGAGGGCTCTCTGTGGAATGGTGGTGAGTTTCCCGAGTCCGGCCAAGGTGCACCAACGTACAAATGATACGGGTGGAATCTATAGTACCTACTCCTAATGTAG